CTCTGTGGCATCCCAACAATTACTCCATTTACACACAGAAGAAGGCAATGGCAAACCCCTTCTGGATCATCTGCCAAGAACGTATATGAACAGGTCCCAGTCCGAGAAAAGGATGGAAGGATCCTGTTCATATGGACCTGTCGTCAGACAGAACACTAAATAAATAAAATTGTATTATCATGAGTTATTCTACATCCTATTGTCATCTGGCTGACTAATGGATCCATGGACTCTAATAAAGGCGTGTGTGTGCACGTTCATGTATGTATGTATCTTACCATGCTCAATGCCAGGCTGTATCTTCATGTTCTATTTGTAGGAATCTAAAAGAAAGAGAGGTGCTGAGTGGGAAAACCCATGAGAAGTGGACCATGGCAAGCTTACTGACCTGCACCAGAACTGGGGGACAGACCCCTGCTGCCACAGTACAGCTGACATTTGATACAGTACGTCGTAATCGCCAAGAGAGGGTGTATATCATGGATGAGAAAGATGCACAGGTAATTAGTCCTTAAATCATTTTATTCGTGACCTTTTTTTTGTTACCATGGTTTTTTGTCACATGATTTCCATTCATGTTTTTAATAAATTTAAAAGAAACTGAGAACTTGGGGAAGAGGATGCTTGAATGTAACAAAGGTTTCTGTTTGGTTGTTGAATTCCATTCCACTTCCACACTTCAGTAACAAGGTAACAGGAATGAAAGTAGAAACAGAAAGGTAAAGAACAACTTTGGAACCTCCATGTTTTGTTGTGGGGTGCATATAATTGTTTGCTTTGGAAGGAGTTATGTTGATTTGTGATGTGATTCTTACAGAAGCTCGTGCGGACACTTGGTGAAGTGTTGGATGCTAGACCACTAACAGCCATGAACCAGGTTGTGTTTCGATGCATGAAATGTTCTACTCAATTCTCGCAAGAACTAGCTCCTACAGGTGAGCAATGAAAAGGGAGGAAAAGCTTGTAGGACCGTCAGTGCTGTATTGGATGCAATGACAGTCGATTGGTATGGATATGAGAGGTTTACTGTACGCCTCTACAATTGCTAGAACAAGGCACGCACTTAATGTTGGGGTTGAATGGTTAGCATTCCTTCATGTTTCTGAGGTCAGTCAGTAAGTAGGTTTGAAGACATTGAATATCTGGAAATAACTGTTGTTCTGATTTTAGAAAAAAAAAATACTAATTGTCTAAAGTAACTCTTTCCTTGCTATGAATAGCCTAGATGGATTTGAAAACTTCTTTAGCACATAAGTGTAAAATATCCAGTACACTAAAGCAGAATGTTATAACAGTAGTTTCTGGGATAAAGACTTATAATTAAGGAAGGAACAAATTGTTATGCATTGCCTTTGTAGTTTCAGGTGTGGGAGGGAATGTTGTGACCTGTCCGACATGTAACAGCACCCTTGTAATCGAAATGGAAGAAGTTCCATTACCATCACAACACAGAAATGACCAAGGAGAGAAGCAATCTGTAGTCCCAGACTGTGGACCATTGTCCCCAGGTTTTAACTCATCACCATCACAGTCAAGCATAGGTATGCAGTGTGTGACTCTGAGGGTGAAAATTGTGTACTTTATTTGACCTATCTGTGACCTCAACTTGACATGAGTGTGGTCATTCAGATACCTACAATTTCACAGAAGTAAGCTTGAGCAAAAATGACCTTGGTATTTTCTATCTTATTTTTGTTCTTACCTTTAGTTCCTTGTTGAAAGTGGGGGAAAGGATAAAGAGTGGGAATATTTATTCACTTAGCTTATTCAGCCCTTTTAATGTGGTGACATATATAGTTGTTCTTTCTTTTGTCATTTCCGAATATTAAAGGTATTTGCATTTTTGAAAGAGACTTACGTATTAATTTTCTTTTTGAGGTCCCATATGCTGCATGGCAGCTAGTACAACTTTGAAGGTGCTGTTCAGTAGATGGTTCTGTTGTGCATTTATTGAAAATGAAAAATTCAAGCATGAGTATTACAAAAACATAGATTTACTTCCTAAGTTCGAAAGTATAAGTGAAGAGCCATTTTATTCAAATAAACAAGATTTTTTGTTGTGAGATGTTACTAACATCTTTAAAAAGTAGTTTGCCTCTACAGTTCTCTAACTGAATTTAGTCACTTTATACTGGTCTAAGATGGCCACGGTGGTCTAGCGGTTAGAACGCTGGCCTTGTAATCCTGGGGTCTCAGGTTCGATTCCCGGCGGTGCCCGAATTTATAACTTGTGTTGGGCAAGGCCGTGGTCTAGGCAACACGGAGTTTTCCTCCGTGGCATCCCAACAATTACTCCATTCACACACAGAAGAAGGCAATGGCAAACCACTTCTGGATCATCTGCCAAGAACGTATATGAACAGGGCCCAGTCCGAGAAAAAGAGGGAAGGATCCTGTTCATATGGACCTAGCGTCAGACAGAACACTAAATAATAAAAAAAAAA